TTTTTAATTGATGTGTATATTTCCAAGGTATAAATACACCAGAGTGTGTTGATCCATTCCTCTATAGTCGGTGTTTTTGTTTCCATGTTTTGGCCATTGTGGAAATGGCTGCAATACACAAAGGTGTATATATGTCAGTTTATGTTATAGTCTCAATTTTCTTTGGGTCTATGCCCAGTAGAGAAATTGCTGGATCATAAGGTACTTAGCTTTGCATTTGTTTAAGGAAATTCCATACTGATTTCCATAAAGTCTGTACAATTCCCCAATCCCACAAGCTTCGTAAAAGCGTTCCTCTCTCTCCAGAGCCTCTCTTGTATTTGTTATTTCCTGTTATATTGAATTTTGCAAAAACTGATGGTGTGAGGTAATATCTCATTTAATTTTAATTTGTATCTGCCTTATTGCTAATGATCTCAAACATTTCTTCATTGGTTGTTAGCAACCTGAACATTGTCTTTGGTAAATTGCCTATTCATATTTTGTGCCCATTTTTATTGGATTATTTTTGTTTCTCCTGTTAAGTTGTAGTTTTCTACTGATTTTGCAGATTAGCCTTTTATCTGAGGTACCATTATTGAATTTTTCTGTGCATCCTCTGTTTACTTTTTGATGAAATGTCTTGTTGTACATAAATGTCATCTATTTAGTAGGTCCCAGTGCTTATTTTGTCTTGTATAGTGTGGCTATTTTTCATTATATTTTGCAATGTGTTTATGCCTAATATTAGGGTCATTACGTTTGCGCTTAATTTTCCATTGATGGCCTTAAAAATATTGTGATTTATATATGTCTTTGATCCATCTTGAGTTTGTACATGGGGTGAGGTATGGGGTCTTTTTTCATTCTTTTGTGGGTGGAGATCCACTTTTTCCAGCACCATTTTTTGAAAAGTCAGTCTCTTGCCCTTTCAGTGTATTTTATTTCTTTGTCAGAAATTAGATGTCTATAGGTAATTGGTTGCATTTCTGGATTTTCGGTTCTTATCAGTCTTCATCTCTATCACCATACCAGCACCGGGCTGTTTAATTACTGTGGCTGGGTTGTAGGTTTTAAGGTAGAAGAGTGAAAGGGCTCTTACTTGTTATTTTTGGTAGAGTTTTATTTGTCCTAGGTTACTTTCATTTACATATATAGTTGGTATTTAGTTTTCTTTTTCTTTGAAAATTTTTGGTGGGATATGGATCAAAATTGCATTGAATTTGTAAAATATTTTTTGTAATGTTGACATTATCACAATATTTAATCTACTTCTCTAGGAACATGGTAACTTGTTCCATTTGTGTGAGTTCCTTTCAGTATCTTGAAGGAATACTTGTTCCTTTGTATAAACCTTTTTTTTTAAACTCTAGTAAGATTTATTCTTAAATATTTTATCTTTGTGTACTCATTGTAAATGGTATTGTTCATGTAATATATTTTTTGGTATCATCATCCTTAATATACAAGAATCCAACTGATTCTGTATGTTGATCTTATAGCCTACTATGTTACCAAAATTTTCAATTAGTTTGAGTAATTTTTAATTGAATTTTGGGGATCTTCTCTATAAAGGATTATGTTGTCTACAAATAAAGAGATTTTTATTTCTCCAGTGCCTAAGTGTATACTTTTTTTGATGTCTTATAGCTCTAGCTAAAACTTCCAAAACTATATTAAAGTGGTAATAAAAGTACAACCTTGCCTAATTCCTGATCAATGAGGAGATGTTTTCAGTTTCTCTCCATTCAGTGTGATGTAGGGTATTGGTTTCACAATATGACTTTTATTATGTTTTATTATGCTGAGAAATTTCTCTTCTATACCTATTTTGTTAAGTATTTTTATCACGAATGAATGTTGAATTTAATCAAATGGCTTTCTCCACCAGTTGATGTCCTTGTATGGTTGGTTCCTTTTCTTCTCATGTTATAAGCTTGCTGAGATTTTTCTACATCATTCTGTGGTAATTTAGGTAAATAGTGCACATTTCTAGAAATGTATCCATTACTCTAGAATTTTTTTAAATACAATTTTTCATAATACTGTTGGATTACATTTATATCTCATTTGGTTCTGTGGTAATATCCATTTCATTGTCACTCATAGAATTTTTTTCTCATTCTTTACTTCTGTTTGCAATGGCTTATCGATTTTGTTAATATTTCCAAAGAACTAACTACTTTTCTAATTGATTTTTTCAGTTTTTTTCTGATTCATTTATTTGTGCCATATTCTTAATTGTTTCTCTTCTTCTAGTATATGATGGTTTCTTTTCCTTCATTTATTCCAATTATTGTAATTATTGTGTCATTTATTTTAATTATTTCTGTCTTATTGATGTGTGCATGTATTGCTATAAACTGCCATGCAATTAATGTTTTTGCAGTCTCCCAAAGGTTTTGATATATTGGATTTGCGTTCCTATTTGTTTCAATGCATTTGTGGCACAAGATCTATGATAGTGCCATGTATATAATTTACAATATATTCATATTGATAAACATAATAAATGACTATGAACTTTACTGTACTTTCCATATAAAAAGTTTTCTCAATGAGAGCATATACCTGACTATCCAGTTGAGTATTGTAGTGTCCTCTCTCGTTGAATTTTCTATCCAAAATATCACCTTGAAGCACATAATGGCTCCCACATGCAACATAACCAGTTCCAGTAATATGTACTGCAAAAGGCAAAAAAGTATCAATCTGGAAGTGAAATAGCATACAGGTGGAAAATCACTTTATGCTATGGTTTAGTCATATCACACTCCACAATCATGAAAGTTCTCAAACACAAAAAAGTATCCAAGCTATTAAAGGGTCAACTCCACTAATGAAAATGTGACATGGACTTATATCAGATATTAAGGGATAGCTAATGATTTGGACTGAAGACAAACACAAAAGCAAATCCCTCCAGTACATTGATCATCACAGCTAAGGCATAAAGGTTGTTCTAAAACCTAGGTGCTTAAAAGAAAAGGAAAAACAAGAAAAAGGAACGGGCAAGACCAGATTACAATATGGTGCTTTCAAGACATCCAAATCACATAACATCCTATTTCACAAACTTTATGGATGTATTTTTGTCATCATTGAAATAGCTTTGGAAGCTTTATATTGGCTGCATGTAACTAAACAAGATTAACCATTAAATAGAGCACCTATTCTGAGTGAGAACTACTCTATTTAACTAAAGCAAAAGAGAGTACTAGGGAGGGACAGGGGCAGAGAGAGGAGCAATTAGACCTGTGTTCATTTCTCTCCACTATTTAAACTGTTTCAGTTCTTTCTCCATGCTCATGGAGATGAGTGGATGAGTGGATGGATTTAGGGACTTAGATGAAGGATGGATTTAGGGACTTTTCTGACCAAGCCTTGGTTTTACCTTTCTTTACATTAACTTTCTCTCAGCTTCACTGACACTGTCTATTCTTTCTCCTTCCCCTACAGTCAGCATTGATTTAAATGGGCCTTCAATCCTAAGAAGCGCCAACTGTCCAAGAATAAGATGTATGAAGAAAATGGAAATGCAGGGCTTAACTTGTAAAGAAAAGATTATCAATAACACATTTAAAAGAGTCAGGGACCTAATAAAAAAAGTAGATCTATTTTACACATTTCAAATTACTAATGTGTTGAAATTACTCAGTGTGTATGTTTTAGTATTTTTGTGGGTTTGGTGAAGGTTTAAATTTCAACTCAACAATTTCTACACAAATTGTTGAATGACATTTGTCACATTCTTTATAATCCTGTTCTTTAATAATGAATATAATAATATACGCCTTTCTGTTCTGGTTTTTCTATCTCCTTGATCTAGTTTTTCCACTCTCCACTCACGCGCCACATATCCTCCACTTTGTTTTCTAGCAATTGTGGGCCTAAAATTGCTTCATAATATAGTCGAACGCATTTACATGTTAAAACCAAGTTCACACAGAAATGACTGATGACTGTTTCTCCATGCTTCTCTGTTGCTATCTGGCTGGAGATTACTTCTCTTGAGCAACTACGTTTTTTGTTATTACTTCAGAACTCCTCCAGTGCAGCTGGGTCATCCTTTGAAGAAGAGAGTGATCGGTTTGTAGGCAGCCTTAGCAGAAAAGGAAAAATTCCATGTGAAGACTTTTAACCTGTTTCAGCCTCTTTCCTGCGGCTAGGTGCACTCAACGCTTTTATGTTGACAGTGCTACAGAAAGCAAGAATTTTCTGTTACACCTTAGTTCCACACAGGACAGAATCACAGCAGGAGTAACCTTAAAAATCTTTATATAAGCACTTTGTTGGATTGTAATTGAAAATAGAACTTACTAAGTCACAAGACTCTTGAAGCAATAGAAATGTTTATTGTTTGGTTGTTTTGTCCTTGCTATTCAATAACATTATGTAATGGCATACAATATAATGTCAGTTATTAATCATTAGTTTTATATATAATTGATTAAAGTGATAGATGCCATTTACTAAATGTTTAGTAGACATTAGTGTTTCATTCTAAGCCATATGTACAATGCAATCCAACAAAACCCACTGTCATTGAGTTGTTTCCAACTCATAACAAACCAACATAGGTTTTCTGAGGCGGCAAATATTTTCAGGTTGTCTCTCAATTCCATTTTTCCTCAATTTGTTGGAGTTACCTTATATATGCATGTCCTTACAAATATAATAATTATATATAAATACAATCTATATGTATTTGACATATGTATATACAAATGTAGCACACACACATATATACATATATGTAAAGTGAATTTGAAGGTGCATTAAAGTAAGCTATATATATGTTCATATATATGATACATATACAAGTTAATAGTCTACCTTTGTATATTAAATCTAAGGTTTCAATTTGCTCATAGACTTCGTTTTACTTCCAACTTAGTTATTTTCAGAAGCCCTCGTTTCTCAGAATGGCAGGTGTGTCAGCTTCGTTTTTCTAAGTTCATGAATTTTGTAATTAAAGAAGAATAACGTTCTAACGGCTACTTTTACCTCTTTTCCTGCAGCGTTTGTCCAATGGCTCGATAGACTCGACGGATGAAACTAGTCAAATAGTGGAATTGCAAGAATTGCTTGAAAAGCAAAACTATGAAATGGCACAGATGAAAGAGCGCTTGGCAGTGCTGTCCTCCCGCGTGGGAGAAGTGGAACAAGAAGCAGAGACGGCAAGAAAGGACCTCATTAAAACGGAAGAAATGAATACTAAATATCAAAGGGACATTCGGGAGGTAAGTGATTCATCACACTGTCAGTCTTTTCTTCCTGAATGCCGCCTTGGAGATGGTAGCTCCATAATTTCCACTAAAGGCACATATTCCCTACGTTTTGTCAAATGACCATACTTTGAAATGAATTATATTAGTTATGAAACTTGTCCAGTAAGTTTTAAAAAAGTTTACTTCATTAACCTTTTTAGTATGCATCAAAAGAAAGTGCTGGTATCAAGTCTCAGATGCAATAAAAACTATCTATTTTTTAATATTTTTTAGAGTTTTTAAGTTTTTAACTTTAAATAACCAAGAATGTGCCTATGAATAATGAACTGCTATACTTTTAACATATGGAAATACTCAAATTATCCCATCTTATTTTTGTCTGTATGACTATGAATGCATATGAGTGATTATGGATTTTTTTTTGTTCTTTCAGTTCTTACTAGACATAGCAGTACTTCATCTATTTAAAAAAAGAGAGTACTTTAGTGTCATTATAGAAGATTTAGGGAAATATTTTATTTGTAGCATGCTCAACCATCTCTCATCCTAAGAAACAAAGTTTAGAATTCTTTCTCTTTTTGACCCTATTCCATTAGGAAGAATACTTTCAATATAGAGAAATTTAATTTTGTGACTTCTCATCTTTCCCTTTAAAATCATATATTTTATCTTTTAAATGTTTTTTAGTTATTAAATGAACTAGTGGATGCAGTTGAGACACGTGATTAAATGTTCACTCTTTTCTCCTACAGTTCTCCGCTTGGCTGGCAGTGTGCACACTCTCCTAACAGTTTCCCATCTCTCCCTTCCCTCCAGTGCCTTTCACTGTCATGGCTTCTCCTCAACCTCGGAGTGACTTCCTTTCTCCATCCGCCTTTGCTACCCTTTGAGCCCAAAGCTGTCAATTATTTTATGAGTACCAATGTATACCTGAGTTTGTCCTTCTTTCCTGATTGTCAGGTGCTTATTTACACATCAATAATGTTTTCCTAAAATTAACTTTTTCAAAGCTTTCACCTGCAACCTGACTCTCCTGGAGGGCATGCATCCCAATTACAGGCATTACTGGAATTGCTCACTCCGGATTCCTTGAGTTTGTCTTTGGCTTTTCTCTTTCACAAGCACCACATTTGAAACTCAGTTGCAAATCATGTCCTTTCCATCTGACCTATTCTCCCCATTGCTATGCTTCTTCCTGATCCAGACAGCCACTGTCTCTAACTGGTGTATCACAAACTTACCCTGAATGTTTCTCCTACTTCTGCCTTTGACTGTCTTCAGTCTGTGCTCAATCCAACATCCCGAGTAATGGTTACAACCTGAGTCACGCAGGCCACGTTCCTGATGTTCTCCGGTGGTGGCCTGTGCCATGTAGAGCAGAATCAACGTGTTTACAGCGGACTACAATCCATGCAATCTTCACTCCTCTGCTGACTATGTGAAATTCTTCCCCTGTTCTCTCATCCCACCCTACTCTGTTATTTCAAGGTCACCTCATTAAAAGCCAGGGACAGTTATTTCCTTGTTTATTTGCCTCTTATTTTTCACTCAAGTGCTATCATCTAAGTGATGCCTTCCTTGATTCGCTATTCACACACGCACACACACACACACACACACACACACACATCTTCTATTCCTTTATCTCACTGCACCTACTACCACTTGACACATATAGTTTATGTAATTACTTTGCTAATGTATGTATTGTATGTAAGGACTCATAAGGACTACGATATTTATTTTTTTCTTCTCTGCTTTGTTCCAAACACCTAGATATTGCCCATGAAACAGGCACTCAAATTTTATCCTTGTTGAAGTAATGAATATTTGTTTATAGCTGTTTTCAATACGTAAATATCAAAAGTCTCTCTGGTGGTACAGTGATGGAGATACCTTGGGAGATAAGGGTGGCAAGATGTTTCTTTAAAAATTACAACCTTGGACCCCGCTCCCCAGGGGCAGTTTGATTCTATCCGAAACAGTAACTATTAGTCCAAATTGACTTGACAACAACGGGTCAGTAGTAGACATCAAAAAACATAAATAAGATCAGAATAAGTCCCACAACAATACTTTCTGACTCGGAAAAGCATAAACACTCCACCAGTGGGGGACGCCTGCCCCCCAGTGCACTGTGCGCTCTGCATCTTGATGATCACTATTCCTGGGTGTGCGTCTCTACACCTCTCTCCGCTCCTCTCCACAGCCGCCTCCGTGAAAGTATACACTTCTCCTCAGGAAGAAAAATCACATTCTCATTCCCCTCAAGCCTATGAATCATTTGTATGAGCCGCACAGTTGAATACCTTGGCATAGTCAATAAAATACGAGTGAACATATTTCTGGTATTCTCTTCTTTGAGCCAACATCTATCAGACATCAGAAATGATATCCCTTATTCTAAGACCTTCTGAATCTGGCCTGAACCTCTGGCATCTCTGTTAATATAGTTCTGCAATTGCTTTTGGATGATTTTTAGCCCAATTTAACTTCCATGTAAATATCAATGATATGGTTGTATAATTTTAACATCCTTTAGGGTCGCCTTTCTTTGAAATGGGTGCAAATATGGATATCTCCTAGTCAGTTGGCCAAGTAACTTTCTTCCAAATTGCCTGGCATAGAAAAGTAAGTGCGTCCAGTGCTTCATCAGCTTGTTGAAACATTTCAATTGGTTTCCATCAATTCTTGAAGCCTTGTTTTTGCCTGCTGCTTTCAGTATAGCTTTGACGTCCTTATTCAGTACCATTGGGTTCTTGATCATATGCTACCTCTTGAAATGGTTGATAGTTGACTAGTTCTTTTAGGTACAGTGACAATGTCTTCCTTCCTTCATCATTTGATTCTCCTTCATTCGATATTTTAATATAGTGACTTGAAGCTTTAACTTTTTCTTCAGTTCTTTCAACTTAAAATATGATGAGCATGTTACTCTTTTTGATTTTCTAACGCTTGGTCATTACACATTGCATCATAGTGCTTTGTCTTCTCCAGCCATACAAAATTTTCTGTTCAACCATTATTTGACATCATTTCTTCTATTTGCTTGAATCACGTTCAAGGGCAAGTTTCAGAGTCTTTCTGATGTCCACTTTGATCTTTTATTTCTTTCCTGTCTTTTAAATGAACTTTTACTTCTTTGTATGTAATGTTCTTAGTGTCATTCCACGGCTCCTTTGGTCTTCTGTTCTTAGTGTTCAATCAGTTAAATCTATTTTTGAGATTTCAAAATCCAGATATTTCAACATTCAGGTGAGATATGCCCAAAGTCATATTTTGGTGCTCATGGACTTGTTTTAATTTTCCTCACCTTCAACTTGTTGTTAAGTCAGTTTTGACTCATTGTATGACAAAAGATGTACAACGGGATAAACACTTCCTGATACTAGGCCATCGTTCAAATTTGTTTGCGCTAAAAATAAAATGTGCTTGCTGAACCTAGAAATGGTCACTTATGGGAAAAATGGAGATCATTCTTGACAACATTTTAACTTCCTGTGCAAACATGTGACCTTTGGAAAATGAGCAACCACAGACATTTTCCCAATGGAACAGTGACAAAACTATATGTTGTCATAAGGAAGTTGTGATTTTAGATATTGCCAAGGTTAAAAGATAGACTTGTTAATTAGGATGTTTTTTAAAATTAAATATTCTTATGTGATGCTAATAATGAATCTTAATATATGTTTGATACACTTTATTATTCTTCTATATTATTGTTATTCTCATGGAGAAGTAGCCCTGGTGGCACAATGGTTAAGTGTTGGATTTAGGTGCCAGCCAGTTGATTCCAACTCACAGCCACCTTTGGGCAGCAGAAGGAAATATTGTCTTGTCGTGTCTATCCTCATAATTGGTCTTCCGTTTGAGCCCATCAATGCAGCAATTATTGGTTTAGTCTATATTCCCCGGTCTCATTTTGTTTGATAATGTTGAGCTTCTCCATCCTCTCTTCCCACAGATATCATAAATTTGATTTTTGTGTATTCCAGTACTATACACATAAAGAAATCCTCATGTAAAGTCACCATAGATGCTGTTGAAAAACATATTTGCAATGAAGACATCACAGGCCTTGCAGAATTCTCTCATGCAATCGCCAGCTCTGTTTCTGCCATCAGCGCCAGATTTTCCAACTGCTGTTCCTTCCTCTTTGTTTCCTTTTTTTTTTTTTGGCGTTCTAATTGCCAATAATTATCAATCCATCAGATTGTATGTTTGATTCATTTCAGGCTAAATATGTTCTTAGAAATCTTCAATTTTTTTCATCATGAACTTTAGTGATTAGTGCATAAATTTGAATAATGTTTTTATTGACTAGACTTCCTTGTATGTGGATAGATATTTTCCTATCACAGACAGCATTGTACATCAAAATAGATATTAAAATTTCCTTTTTGATGATGAATGTGATGCTATTCCTTAATTTGTCATGATTGGCATAGTAAATCATATGACTGTCAGATTCAAAATGACCAATAACCATTCATGTCAGCTCACTAATGCCTATGATAGAAAACTCTTATGCATTCCATTTCATTTTTTACTTATAATTTTTCTAGATTCAATCATTGTAGATTCCAAGTTAAAATTATTAATAGCTTTTTCCCAGCTGTTTCTTCTTATTTTGAGACCATTTCCATCAGCAAATGAAAGTCCCCAAAGTTTTATTCCATCTGCCATTATGGTTGACTATTTTGAGAAGGAAATTCTTCCTCGGTCACAATGTGCATGCCTTTCAACATTAGAGGCTTGTTGTCTAGAACGGTGTCTGACAAGATTCGGCTTTTATGTGTGAGGTGTACAGTATCTGACAGTATCCTGCTGGTGTTCCTAAGCTCTTCAATGGCTGATTCCTCGGAATTGGCCTATTCCTTTTTTGTAGTGTGTTCTTTGATTGGAAGCCCTATTGAAACCTGGTCACCTGGTGTGACACTGCTGGTATTTGAAACATAGTGATGTCACTGTCAGCCTCACAGCCACGCTCATGCCCCTAGAGCATGGCAGCTACTGATTATCGCTCCGTCATTACCAGCAAGTCTATGCTGCTGCACAGTGACCCAATGGCACAGGGTAGAACTGCCTCTGTGAGTTTCCGAGACAGTAACTCTTTATGGAAGTAGGAAGCCCTGTTTTTCTTCCAACTGACTTATAATGCTTCTATATGCAACAGAAGAAAGCCCTGGCCCATTCAAAATACCTTCACCATCTTTCCTATATCTTAACAATGTTTTAGCCACTGTATTAATACTCTTTACAGGTCTTTCTAGATTTCACTTGCCTTCCACTCTCCTAAGCATGATGTCCTTTTCTCAGTACTGCCCCTTCATAATGCCGTGCCCAAGATGTGTAATGTGAAGTCATCCTCACGTCTAAGTATTTTCTAGATGTATTTCTTCTGATAGCCCGTAGTATATTCACAACATCATAATTCAAGTACAATGATTATTCCTTCAGTCTTCCATATTTATTGCCCAACTTCATGGGCATAAAAACCACTTGAAAATATGTAATAAAATCCAGGGTTTCCGTTAGTGTAACTATATAAGTTTTTTCTACAATGGATCAAAGTAATATTTTGTTATGATTACCATTTCTTCTTATTATTCAACTTTTTATTTTGCTAGATTTTTATTATTCACTTTTATAGTTTAGGGTTATGGTAAATTATCCCAACATTTCCAAACATTTTACCCTTTCAGTTCAACATGTATGGTCAATGGTGAAATTGAAAAATAACAGTATGTGCTTGGTTTTATTTTCTTTCAATTGCCTCCTTTTCTCTAATCTCTTCTTCCAATTTGTACGTTTTTTTTCTAAGCCTATTACACTATTTTTGTGAGAATTTCCTCTAGTATCATTTGAGAAATACAGGGTAAAAAGAGAGATAAAAGTACCTAAATAACAAGGTAAGACCAGATCTTACATAATTGTTAAATTATAAGACACGGTGAAGTACATGTTCTTAAAAAAACACCCTGGAAGTTAACAATTTGTATACACATTGTTTTCATATTGTGGTAAAAGAAGGTTAAGAATTTCAAATACTGTCCACTTAATTGTTTCTATTTGTTTCGTAAGAAATTAAAAGATTTTTGTTTTCTTCTGTGTTTATGGCAGTACGAGCTTGGAGGAGTGTGGTAAGGGGTTGATTAGAAGCAAATCTGACTCAAAGAACTATTGACATTTCTGTTTGTGATTGAAGTTTACTATTTTGTTTGACTTTTAGTGAATCGGGTTCTCTTTTTTCAGTATATGCAGATGAGAATACAGAAATATTTGTTATCTCTTATTTGAAGATTTTTTTTACAATTTTGACTTAGTGGCACCACTTTATGAATGTTGTGCTTTGAAACTCTTACTATAATTTTACCTACCTGTCACATATACTGGACTAATTTATCTGGCACTTTCTTATATAATTTCAAGTGTACTCCCTTCCGTTTTCAGAAAGCAGAATGCTTTTGCTTTATGCAAAGTGTGAAGATTGTGACAAATGACTTGGTAAAACATGTATGAAATCTTGCATATATTACATGAAAATAGAGGAATGAATATTAACTATAAACTCAGTCATCTTCATACCTTATTACTTATTTCAGTAAAAGATAATGCATTACACTGCATATTTGAGTGAGGTTTTTATTTCTGGTTATCCTAATTGTAGGCCATGGCACAGAAGGAGGATATGGAAGAAAGAATCACCACTCTCGAGAAGCGTTACCTCGGTGCGCAGAGGGAATCTACCTCCATCCATGACATGAATGATAAACTAGAAAATGAACTGGCAAACAAAGAGGCTATCCTCCGGCAGGTTCAGTATCTCTCCTGGTTTCTCTGTGTCCCGTGTGTGCACTCCCTCTACTCCCAGAATGTAAAGTCAATAAAATAGATGTGTGTTTGCTGGTATCTGGCTTTTTAAATTCAAAATGGAACTGACCAAACATATGTAATTTCAGGATGCCATTTACTTTATAGTAGAATAACCTACAAAATACGGTTAAAATAACAAAACTAAGGACTTTGTTTTTATTCTATGTGTATACTAATAATTATGGCAAGAATTTTATGTGTCTTTTACTTCCCTTACTTCTTAATACCACCTTGCAAGTAGGCATAGTTATTATACTGAAGAAGCTAAGGTTCAGAAATGTTAGCACTTTTCTATGGCCACACAACTTAAAAATTCTAGAATCAAGAACGGAAGCCCAAGTCTATTTGTTTCTAGAGCACAAGTTAGCAAACTATGGCTTACAGATCAAATTGGTTTACCTGCTTATTTTCGTAAGAAGAATTTTGTTAGAACAAAGGCACTACCACTCTTTCACTCATTGTTTCTGATTGCTTCTACGGTGTAGCACTAGAGAGGAGTGGCTGGGACACAGATCATGTGGCACGGGAGGACTAATGCATTAACTATCCAGAAAAAACTGCCAAACCTAGCTCTACAGCTCAGTCTCATAAACGTTGTACAGTAGTCCCTCTCCCCATTGAACTAACAAATATGATGATTTTCAATATTTTGCTTTAACAGTACACCTGAAGTCTCATTACTGAGCTGAATTCTCTTTAGTCAAAGTTATGCTCATCTTTAAGTCATTTTATCTTACTGCAACTGGTATGAGTTCTATTTTATTAATCGGCTACATTGCTTTAAAATACATAGTTAGGGAATATACGAAAGTTTGAAGACAGTAGTCACTTTTCCCCTTTTTAGTGTGGTAATAACTGGCTTGAATCTGAGAAAAATAGCTGAAGCCACTGGTGTGTGTGGGTTTGCTGTTGTTGTCCTCAGTCTGAACCTTTACATCTGCGTCATTACTCCTTTCCAGATGGAAGAGAAGAACCGGCAGTTACAAGAGCGTCTGGAGTTGGCTGAGCAAAAGCTGCAGCAGACTATGAGAAAGGCTGAGACTTTACCTGAAGTAGAGGCGGAACTGGCTCAGAGAATTGCAGCTCTGACAAAGGTACTGCCCTAAAGATATGTGTCACCCCTCGTGCACTTAGAGAACCTAACCGATAAAAAATAGAATCATTAAGGTTATTGGATGTTTATTACATTTATCTGACTTAAGTGCATTTTTCTTATGAAATATTTCTGCTGCTATGACAGCAGAAATAATTGACAAAAGATATGTGGCCATTACCTTGTCTCTTCCAACATCAACACACACTAACAGAATGTCATGCAGTAATCATATGTTATTTTTAAGTGGTAATATTAGCACATTAGAAGCATGGCAGAAGTTAACATATAATTGTGATATTTAACATGTATATCTATGAAGCATAATCATTTAATAGGTCTAAAGTGTTTGGTATTAGTATTATAGGGAATAATAAGCATTAGATTACTTCCTACTTCTATTGTTGATACCATCAAGTCAAATCCAATTCAGAACAACCCTGTGTACAACAGAACAAAACTGTGTTAGTCTGGGTAGACTAGAGAATCAAATTCATAGACACTCATATGGGTATAAGACACAGGTTTAAATACAAGAGCAGTTGAATATTGATAAAACATCCCAGCCCAGTCCAGATCAAGCCCATACCGATATTAGCCCATGTGTCCAATACCAATGTATGATGTCCTCTTTAGGCTCAGGGAGCACATACAAGGATGCCAAATACAGGATGATCACAGAGCAGTGGGTGGGAAGTCTTATGAATCCAGTGGCAGTATAAGTATCTCAGTGCTGGCAGGGGTCTCCACGTGGTTCCTCCAGATCAGGGCACTAGCTTAGCTCCATGAGTCTTATCATTTGCAATGTCTCCCAGGGAGTGAGTCTGTGTCTCACCTCCAGCGAGCTATTTACGTCCATAGCACCTCCAAATGAGGTCATCAGGCTGTAACCTGATTGACAGGCTAAACTCCACCCTTCACTTTTAAGTCTTAAATTGACAACAGATGATGTAACTACCACAGACACACTACCCAGTGTTGAGTTGTCCTCGCAATATTAGCTATGTTTGAGCCCATTGTGGAAGTCACTGTGTAGCTTCATCTTCTGAGTATCTTACTAATTTTCACTGATCCTCCATTTTACCAAACATGATGTTCCTCTCCAAGAAATGGTCCCTGTTGATAACATGCCCAAAGTACATGAGATGGAGCCTTGGTATCCTCCCTTCCCAAGAGCATTCTTGCTTATTTCTTCCAAGACAGATTTGCTCATTCTTCTGGAAATCCATAATGTATATGCAACATTTTTTGCCAACACTAACTACCTATAGTAGGATAAAACCTCTGAAAAGTTAGAACTTAAAGTTTTAATCTAATATCTAAGTCCCTTAAATATTCAGAAAGTGATTTTCATAGCTACAATTTCTTCAAAATAAATTAAAATCCATAAAACCTTAATGGAGTTTTAAAATTATATACCAAGGCATGGTGCCTTGGTTCTAAAGATTATTTGCATATTTTAGTAATTCACAAACATAAAGTTCACAAGACTGCTTTTAGTTCATCTTTTAAATGTAAATAGAAATGGCATTGCTTCAAAGTGCCTATA